AGACCAAACCAACCCGACATTATATATATAATTTAAGTTTTTTATTTTATACATAAAAATATTTACTTTGATATAATTTTTAAATATTTCTTATACTTTTTCATAGTTTTTATCTTTTAATATATTATTTCAAGTTTGAAACTTAGAATTATGAATGGGCCAATAAAGATTATAGTCCACAGATGTTGGTAATTATAATAAAGCTTAAATCAAAATCAAATTAATACTAATGCAAAAAGAAAATCAATTCAACACTAAGAATGACAATAATATTGAATATTTGTTCTTTAGTTTTACATTGGTTTAGACAATTAAAATACATAATCTAATTTTAATTTTCTTTAATATTTAGTCATGTAACTAATACTTATTAAACTTAATTTTAGCATGATTTAGTACTTTTAAATTATGATCATTTTCATTATGACTTGTTAATTTGCAATATTTGTTTTACGCGATTTCATTATTATTATTTTTGTTGGATATTTTAGTGTCATTAATCATATCATATTGTGTTATATTTTTAAGAAACATCTTAGATAGTTGTATTTTGGTAGGACTAAAGAAATATTTGAAGTACAAGTAAATTATATGTTGTGTATGAATACTTTATCGGAAAAACCCGAAAAACCGAAAAACCCGAAAAAACCCGAGGTTTGTTGGTTTGGTTTGGTTTATAAATTTAAAAATCCGACCTAAATGGTTTGGTTTGATATTTGAAAAACCCGAACCAACCCGGCCATGTACACCCCTAGTTTTTAGTAGTTAATAAGAGAGAATGTTTAACCTACTCTTACACTATGTTGTTCAGATACTATGAAAACGTTATCACATTTATTATTTCATCCTTCAGACATAATATGCATATTTGAAGAATTTGATATGAATACAATGGCGATTTTTAGACATTACATACATGCGAACCTTGCACTAAAATTTGGCAAAAATTAAGCAAATTAACCTGCTTTGTAACTTGATTTTGCTTAATGGCAATAGGTATTAGCTGTCATCAACTTCAAAATTAATAAATATACGAGTGGGTGATTTTAGGAGAGAATTAAAGAATGAAGAGAGGGGAGAAAAAAAGTTAGATTTGTATAAATGAATATATATATTTGGAAATGCTTTTTTTTTCTTTCCGTATACATTCGTGGTTTCATAATTAATAGTAAATTATATTAAACTATAACTACACACGGTAACTAATTTAAATTGTAACATCGTTGAATAATAAATCAGTAATGTTTGTCAACTCGCACAATTTTTCCTATAATAAACCAAACAACCTATTTGGATGAAAATTAAAATGAAATCAATACGTTATATTGGATTCAACTTAGCAATTAATGCTTTAATGAGCGCTTAATGAAATTTTAATTCCATTTTAATTTTGACCGATTCACATGTTTTAAGACTCAATAAATCGTAGAGTTTTAAGAAGGGAAAAATCCTTTTGGCCACGAAATTTGGCCAGAATGGTAAAATAATATATTTCACACTTTGTTATTTTACCTTTTTGAACATTTTTATCCTTTTAACTTTAATACATTTTAATTAAAAAATGGATAAAAGATCAGTTTATTTTAAAATAAAAAAGATATTATAGACTATTTAAATTTCTGGCCAAATTCTGACCAAATTTTTTGGCCATTTATTTAGCATTACCTTTTAAGAAAAATAAATGTTCTTAGTGAATTATTATGTGAATGATTTAAATTCAAATCTTCATTAAATGCAAACAACTTGTGAATTTTTATTTAGTCATACACTTATATAATCCCGATGCTAGATGATAGGTATTCTAAAAATACATAACTATTAAATTATCAAATATCAAATATATATATAATATAAGAAGAAGAAAGAAGAAAAATAATCTCTTAAAGTTGTTGATGATCGATCAGTTTCCATATACCAATTGTGAGTCGCGAACTTTACTTGTCATGACAAAGCATGGAAATAGTACAGTTACTTCCCTGGAATCATGTTACAATATATTAATTAGAGTTCATCCCAATTAATTATAAAAACTTTAGAATTATAAAAATGAACTCACTCACTCTAAGTATGGGAGTGTCATATTCTTTATCAAAGAAGGATATCTCGTAACTAATTCCTTCCACTCCTTTGGATCAATCCGTCCATCACCATTTAGATCTGCCTCTTCAATTGTCTGCACAAAATCATACTATAACATTCATTCCCATCTATGAAATTATATATATATACTAATAAATCTTTTTAACCTTATGGACGATTGATTCAATGGCATCATTTGCAAGTGTCAATTTTGATTCTTCGAGAACAGCCAATACCATGTCCTTCAGCTACAACATTACACATCCATTTTTACATTAGTTCAAGGATAATTTTGACCTTTTTTCTCTCTATGTGTTGGGAAAGGTTACATTATTAGTCTCTTAAATCTAATCCATTTTGATGATGGCAAGGAGAAATCTAACTTCAATTATCAACGTAGAGCAAATTTAAACCATTTTACTAAGTTCAAGGACAACTTTGACCCTTTTCTGAATTCTAATTTACATACGGCACTTTAAGCAGCACTTATTCACTAATAAATCTTTTCTTTATGTTAAACATGTCTATTATCGACAGTGCACAAAGAATGTACGAAATGTGAACTCAGATTAAAGGAGCAGAGTAAACGGATCGGAGGCCTATAAATTCCTCTAAGAAACAAAAGTGACATGATAGTTCAGACAACGATAAGATGTTCATTTCAGTTGTTTACCTCATCGCGTTCTATGTATCCAGTGTTCTTCAAGTCGTACACTTTAAATGCAACTGCCACAAGAATATTTAATTTAAAGTTAGCAGCGAGCACTGTATTTCAATAACAAGTAGTATATGTTTTAGACATGTAGGATCTATCTAAAGTAATAACAATATATCGTACGTACATGTGATTTTGTCTTGTTGAGGAGCCTTTGGATGGAATATGCTTAAGGATCGAACAAATTCTCCAAATTCAATAATTCCATTACGCTTAAGATCAAATACGTCAAACAACTGCAACAATAATATTGTGACAAGAAGGAATTAATTAATGGTGAAGCCACTATAGCAAAATAGTTAACTCAAGGATGAATTACTTACTCTATCTGCAAAAAGATTCTGCCTATGGCTGCAGCTGAAAAGTGCTTGGAGAAACTCTTCCTGCATTGAACATTATATGGTGGCTTATTTCAACTACATTAGTTATCCATCTCTTGCTATATATGTACACAAAAGTGCTTACTTCTAATTTTCATACCTTGTGAATAAGACCATCATCAATTATGGAGCTGCTTAGTCTCTTGTATAGAATATATAAGGCCTCCACATCATTCTCACTAACTGCAATACAACATCGTCTAACATGCTAAATTACACCTTAAAATAAACAACTACTTATGGATAGTAACAACAACAACATATCCAGTGTAATCTTACAAATGTGGTGTACGGAGGGTGGTCCCTACCTAGTGAAGGTAGAGAGACTATTTTCGATAGACCCTAGTCTCACATAATACCGTAGATATCAACATATTCTCCATTATACTCATTATTATTTAAAGTTGGACACTATTGAATGAAACATTTCCGGTTGGATGTTCAAACTATATTCTAATTGGTGAAGTATCAAGACGATTACACAGAACAAATAAAAGGAGAAAATATCATAAGGACATCAAAATTATAAAAAAATTATTTAACACTAATTCAGATTTATACAGGCTCAAGTGGCCTTGTTAACTCACAACAAGTTTCAGAAGCAAGAGTATCATGGGTCTCAAGCAGATGTCTAGTTTTCTTCAAACAAAAGCAGTCCTTTAGAGAATGCATAATCCAGTTGAGGACTTAAAGAACCACAGCTTCAGATCTTCACCTGTCACAATTTCAAACAGAAAAGTTAAATACTAATGCTTCCATATCCCCTTTTTGGGTATAATCACCCGGTATCCGATATCCACCGTCCCAACTAATTTGGATACGCACTACGCATGGCCTATTAAAGGGAGAAGAGCTCTGTATTAGGGATTTCTCTATTTCCAAACTCGAAACCGAAAGCTTTGGTTAATGAGTTGATCACAACCATACCACCAAATTTCTTGGTGGCACTAGTCACAACATTAGGTAAATTCAACCTCAGTAGATAGTATCATAACCCCAGTCTTATAAATGGGTTAAAAGCTTTTTTTATTTTATTTAAGCACTTTGATAGTATTTGGATAAAATTAAATAAAAGTTTTTAAGCTCTTGATTCTAAGCCAACAACAATAACGATAACATATTCAGTGAAATCTTACAAGTGGTCTGTTGTGAAGAATAGAGTGTACGCATACTTTATCATTATAACAACAACATATTCAGTGAAATCTTACAAGTGGCCGATATGTGAAGAATAGAGTGTACGCAGATTTTACCATTATAACAACAACATATTCAGTAAAATCTTACAAATGACGGGTATGTGAAGAATAGAGTGTACACAGACTTTACCATTGCCTCGTGAAGATAAAGAGTATTTCTGAAAGACACTTGATTCTAAGCGAAAATAATGAAAATAAGTCAAAAGTTATAAGTTAAGGATTTCTAACTTATGACTTTTGACTTATAAGTCATAATCCAAAAGCTAATTCAAATAGGATATCTAAGGGAACATTGTAGAATCGCACAAAGGCACAAACATGAAAGTAGAAAGTAAATTACTCGTATCTGTGCTGGTAGAAGCTAGATAAAAAGTATATATAAAATTGTTAGAGTTATATTCAAGCAGACCTAGATAATACCATGATTATAAAAATATATTTGTAACACAAACAAATACCCATGATGATTGAGAAGCTAGATGAAGAACAAAGATTGTGAGAGATAAGAAGAAATGAACTAACCTCTTGGATGTTATATTAGTGCTTATTTGAGGTTTATTCAGTGATGAATCAAATCCTTATGTATAATCTTAAAATGTGTCTTCTGATGATGTCTTCACTATCCTTTTTTTTTTTTTTAAGAAAAAATCTTTTGATAGTGGAAAAGTAAGATTCATTATTAGGTAAATGAATTCGTACAATTAGTCATCGTACATAATACCAACTAATAATCGATGCTCTTTCTAATTCCACAATGTTTAATTAATTACATTATTAGTAATATTTTATGCATTAATGTAGTTGCATTATTATTAGTATTTTATGCATTAATATAGTTACATTATTAGTAGTATTTTATGCATTAATTAATGTAGTTACATACGTGTAAGCCTCAATTGTCTCCATTTTTGACATTGTGACCCTCCAATTTCCTAAGAACAATGGTTGACATTATTAAAAGGATTACATACGTACATTGGTTAGTATCGTCAGTCTATTTTTCTTGTTCTATATAGTTTAACCCCGAAAAGAGAAGATATAATATATTACTTTTAGCCGGTTGAGGTGTTGGAAATCTCTTACCATATAATATAGTTGGTAATAATTTAAAGCAAATTATTTATTTCACTTTTAAGTTACGAAATTAGAATTATTCTAGACAATATAATTACCTACTTGTTAGTCATTTGTTACTTGATGATTAAAAACAAGGAAACAATTGTATTATAAGGCCGGTGTACCTAAATTACCTATTTCTTTCTTTTAAGTTCCTATTTACTCTTCCAAAGGGAAATAAAATACGTACGAACAAATTAGTTGCTTTCAATAGTGATGGAGAAAACAAATCATGGTACTGCCAAACTCATATTATATTATATCATTGCTTTAACAATACTCTAATTTAAGGCTATTTTTTAGAATTGTTGACTTTATAATTAATGCTCAATAATGAGAGATTTAATTATATTCGACCAGGACTAGGAAGAGATATAGAAATGTGTATTTTACTCCCTTTCTCCAACAATAGTTGTTCACATTGACTTGATATACAGATTAAGAAGCAGTGGGAATAATTTTATTAAATCACCATTATTAAATATAAGTCATCTAAACATTGCAAAAGAATCATACTCCCTCCGTTCCTTTTTATATGTCATCTATTTCTATAAATAGTTAGACCATAATACTTGTCATTTTATAAAATCAATGCATAAATTACCATATTCTTCCTATTATACCCTTGATAGAGTAGTTAATTAGTCTTGAAAATATATAATTTGACCAACCTAGGAAAACTAATAAGTAATTAATATTCATTGAAATACTTCATACATTGATTAATTCCTCTCTTCATTCACTATTCTATAAAATCTGATTTTGAAAATAAACTCAAAAATTTAAATAGTCATCCAAATGCATTTTAAACTACTTTAATAAGCCTAAGAAATTTAAATAGTCATCCAATTCAAGCATCCGAACCTCGAATATTGACCAAAGTCAACCCAAAGGTTAAAATTCCACAAATTTCCAACTTAGGACCTCAAATCCTCAAAAAAGACTCGAAATTTGAAACCGACAACTCTCTTAGACCAATTTACGCATTTCAGGAGTGATGGAATCGACATTATTCTATTCCGACACTCGAAACTCCAAGATGCATCAAAAACTACTTTTGTAACAACTTTAGTCTTTTGAAACCAAAAGCATTCATAATTCACCACTTCCATTAAAAGTGTGAAACCAAATTTCAAAACTTAATCAGAAATCATTCCACATCAATATCGAAGGGGGGGGGGGGTAAACAACTATTTTACAAAAAAAATCTAAAAATGAACTTCTAGGTCATTACAATCATTTATGTCTATTTCTAAGACTACAGGTGAAGCTCTTTCTCTTATCTAGACTGACAACATGTTATTATTGAAGAGATATTTGTGTTTCACTGTAGCGGTACTTGGGAGCTTTTTCCTCTATCTTTAGAAAAATTAACAGTTTGTTGTCAATGGATATATATAGTGAAGGTTGGCCCCAATAGATAGATTGATCGCATAAAATCTCTACTAGTGGCCAAGGGTTATACATAGATTTTTTGTCTTGATTATGGTGATTCTCTCTCATGTGGTCAAGATTGCTTCAATTTGTCTCTTTTTATCCATGGTTGTGGTTTTTCATTGGTCTCTATGTCATTTGAATATTAAAAATGTATTTCTTCTTGGAGATCTCGAAGATGAGGTATATATGGAGCAACCACCTTATTTTGTTGCTTAAGGGGATTCTAGTAACGTGGTCTGCAAATTATGACAAACACTATGGATTGAAGAAGCCTCCTCGAGAATGATTTGAAAAGTTTATCATGGTTATTCAGGAGTTTGGCATAGTACGATGTGAAGTTGATCTGTGTTATATTGCCACTCTGCTTTAAATTTGTGCATGTATTTGATAGTGTATGTTAATGACATAGTTATCACAGACAATGATGATAAAGGAATTACTAAATTGAAACATCATCTTTTTCAGCACATTCAGACTAAGAATCTTGATCGATTGAGGTACTTTTTGGGCATTGAGATTGCTCAATCCAAATCAGGAATTACTATTTCACAAAGGAAGTATGCACTTGATCATTTCGAAAGAGATAGTGATGACATATTGAAGGCCTATTGATTCTCCAATGGATTCAAATGTTAAGCTTCTACATGGTCAAGAGGAGTCTCTTAATGATCCAGTAATATATAGAAACTTGGTATAAAATTTAAATTATCTCACAGTGACTTGACTTGATATTACCTTTCCGGTTAGTGTCGTAAGTCAGTTCTTGAATTCTCCATGTGATAGTTATTGGAATGTAGCTATTTGCATTTTTTATACATAAAATCCACTCTAGGAAAATGATCACTATTAAGAAGATCAAAGACATGAGAAATTTATTGGATATTCAGATGTAGATTGGGCAGTGTCACCCTCTGACAAATGATCCACTTCTGGATATTTTGTTTTAGTTGGAGGGAATTTGTGTTACGACCCAGACCGTCGTGATTGGCACCCACACTAACCCTCCAGTGGGAGAACCATTAATACTAATCAGCTAACCCAAGAACTAAACATTTAAAGATACAGAATCAAGTTTAAATGCAGAAATCAAAATAAGAGTTCCCATAAACTCCAAAGGTCTAACAACAACTATCAAAACATTGCAGAAATATTTCCTAGAATCTTAAAGTCAGTGTACCGAAACTCTAAAGTTCAACAAGTCTAAATAAAATGGATACAACCCAATTAAACATATGAATATCAGTCACCCTTGAATTGACTAAAAAGAGTTGACTAAAACATAAAGAACTCATGGAAGCCTGGAAGAACTAGCTCACCCTTGAATTTGATTGATCACTGATCTCCTAGATGAGGTATGTCAGTAGCCGCCTGAAGATGCCCTGTACTCAACAAAGAAAGAGCAAGTGCAACATCAGTACACAACCACAATGTACTGGTAGGATCACGCGGCTATTCCAGTAAGTGAAACATATACAAGCAGTCACACCATAATAAACACGCATATACCGAACATATACAATATCAATTATCATTTCAGGAGCAATGCACCCTTCCACATTTCTAATATAAAGTAAATACGCATATATGACAAGTCAATGGTCCTCTCATGGAACTCATACCTAAACTGTTAGTGCACCGGAACGTGGTACCCAATCTCAATTAGTGTGTCGGAGCGTGACACCCGTTCCAATATGTATGTCGATACGTGACATCCGATCCCAGTTAGTGTATTAGAGCATAACACCCTATCCATTCAACAAGCCACACTCACAATCACAATGTACATTCTCATAAATCATACCATCAAGTGTTGATTCATGGCATACAATCATTCATTCATACTCATTTGCACTAGATGTGATCAATAGTACAACATTCACATACATTACAATGAAGCAGATACTAACACATCACATAAGCATGAAATCAAACAATCATCTACCTCGAAACCAAGCTTGAATCCTCCTAAAAAACTTGATTCTTCCCTTTTCGGATTCTTTCTGCTTGTTTTAGGTCTACAAACAATCAATTCAATACGAGGATCAATAATTAAGGTCTAATTACCAGGATTACAATCGAAATTATCAACCCTAGGCCAAACCCGAGATCCCAATACCCAACTTAGGGCATTTTCCACCATTAGGTTTCAGGTCAAAACCCTCTCTCATTGATAATCACCCATAAATCTAAGTTCTATTAATCGAAAAATGGATTAGGGGAGTAAAATCCTTACCTTTAGCACAAAAAATAGTGAAAAACTATCAAGAAATCGCCTTGGGTCGTCTCCTAGCTCTCAAGAATGAAACTTGCAGAAAATAACATTTTGGGGTTTAATTCCGACTTAATTCGCGACTTGCGCGCCGTAGCGGGACCCAACCCGCCACAACGGCCCCGCCCTGGCGGCTTGCACGGAAACAAAGAGTCAAAAGTTGAGTTTCAAACACTCATTTCACAACAGACCTTCAACCTATGACACTCAAAAACTACCCGTTCATGCTAAGATCAGTTTCGGGAGTTCTACTCGCCCGAATCATTCTGTAAAGTTGTACGGATTCCTTAACGTCTTGGCTATCTACTCATGTGATAAAAATCATAATTAGATCTCTCATTCATTACCAGATCTCCCTAGATCTTATTGACTCTGATTTCGATAAAAGCTGGACTAGGCTAGGAATTCTCAAGTTACTACGAAAAAGTTTTCTGATCCAATTTATTTCCCTGATGGCATTTCTAGATAGACAGGAAAATGTCGTTACAATAGATACCAATTTATCCATCACTTGTCCCCGAGTGACAAACGAGAATAAACAGGCTAAAATAAGAGTAGAGTAGTACCTAAATCGACGAACAACTGGGGATACTTGTCTTGCATGTCCTTCTCGGTTTCCTTAGTAGATTCCTCAACTGGACGATGCTTCCATTGAACTTTCACAGACTTAATCTCTTTGGTCCTCAACTTTCGTACATCACGATCAAGAATTGTAATCGGTTTCTCCTCATATTGGAGGTCTTTGTCTAACAACACAGAGTCCCATTTTATGATATAATCCCCGTCACCAGGATATCTCTTCAAC